GAAAAAAAAGCATGAAAGAGTATTAGAGAAGAAAGAAAAAGGCCCATTACAACACCCGTGGAACATGAAGTTGCGAAAAACCCAATTACGGAAAAATTATTGTACAGCTGAAAAATTATTTTCTTATTGACAGTACTGTTGTACAATTTAAATTCACATAGTAAGCTACAACCCCCTCAGTATAATGCGTATCTATATCTGTTATATTAAAGATTTTTTTTCTTTGAAATATGATGATTGCTTTGTGTTTTTAATCTTGTTCATATGTGCCCCAGGCCTGTTCACATGTGCCCCCAATAGGGGCACATGTGAACAATTGAAGTCATTTTTCTAAAATATTATAAAGTAAAGAAATATTTTATTGAAAAATCTCAAAAAATTCCACAAAACAAAGAAAAGACTATTTAAACATATGGACTTTTTTACTATGAAAAATTTCTATTTTTCGAAAAGTGAAGAAATAAAAAATTTTGTTCACATGTGCCCCCCTCTCCCCTATTTGTTTATCCAGATGTATTTTCATGATATGTTATATTTAACCACGCTTCTTCTGTATATTCACTATTTTTGACGCTCATCTCCCATGGGTCTTAAATGCCACTAATCAATATTCTATTATAGTTACATAACGTCTGTTTATATCTGTTTCTCTAAATAATTATATAGTAATTAATAAATAATAAATGTAAGGATCCTAACGGGAGCTCTGGCGACGTTGCAGATGCTAGGGTGGGCTTGTGATTAGCGACTGACATCGGGGGAAGCGTGGTATGTAGCCGTTGTAACTGTTTTCCTGGTCACAGTTTTTCTTTCTGATAGATGCCCCCTCCGGGGGCATAGGTGCAGAGCTGTGTGCCGGCGTCCATGTCCATGCTTCAATAATGAAACTCTTATATTTTAAAAATTTTATTGTATAGAATTCAATAACAAGCATCACTTAAAAGAGACAACACATCGCAAAATAATGTACACCTTTGTTTCAAAATTTTGATATATATCATAATTCAATAAACAATGACATGCAAAGAACCACATGAGAACAAACAATAGCTTCTCCTTATAAAGGCCTTCAAATGAACTGATATCCTATGGATATCTAAAATGAAATTTTTCACATCCATGATTTTTTTAACAATAGAAATGGTTGATCTAAGATATGTTAAACAAATATTTTTGCCAGTCATCAACAACAAAAAATTGAGCATTTTACACAAAAAATGGCTTCAAATCTATACTTCTACTTCCCATAAAATTGCCTTTTCCATAATTATTTTTTTTTTATCTAAAGTTGGAACTACATAGGCAGCATTTTTTACAGTACAACTATTACCTTGATATAGGAAAGAACAAGCTGTTATTGTAATAAAAAACAACCAAAATTATTGCAATACATATTTCAATAAATAATAAAAAAATAATTGCAGTACTTATTGATTGTAATGGAATACTAGTTTTTATCAATAAGCAAGATAACATACAGTTAGAGGAAAAATGTACTTACACTAGGAATTAAGATAAATAGTTATGTGTAAATAATATGTATATATATATATATCATACAAATATGCACAAAAGTATTAAAAGTAAAAATATACAAATGCATAAATTTATATAAAAATTATAAATGCTATATAAATTATACCATTAAAAAACCTACAAAATGCAAAATATTGCAACATAAATTTTCAACAAAAAATATCAGCTATATATAAGAGTAATATTATCCTTTTTTCCCCAAACAGAAATAATCAAAATATGACATTTTAGGAAGAAAAAAAATTTACGATCATTATAAGTCATAAAACATAACTGATTTTTTATACATTATTTTCCTTGTTTATTTCTTAAATTTTAATAATTATTTGAGAAATTGATAGCAATACAAATTATAATTAGGAACAGAGAAACCTCTTGGAAGAGCGACCACTCTCCATTCCACAGTAAAATGGTCGTTCTTAAGAGATTACATCCATTGACTTCCTATTATTATCGAAGGTACATGATTCTTCGTAAACAATTTAAATTTCAGTCAGTATCATTTTCTTGGTGCAAAATACCACTTCTGTTAGCATCATGAAAAGAATAAAATCAATGAATAAAATTCTGTGCCTATACAAATTATCCTAACTGATATAATTATATGTAAAAACAAAATTACCAAATATTAATGATAAAGCTCTTTTAAATAAACAATTATGTTTTTTGTTAAAGTCTGCATTTAATTTTACATTTAAAAAATTAGTTAGCTTTAAAATGAGAAGAGGTTTGTTTATTTGAGATGCATGTTTTTTATAAAATAACTTTTTTTTTCTAATTTAACTTTCAATTTGAAAAGTAAATCATTGATGGCATCATCTTTGGTGCATCCTGACTACAACATGAGGTTGTATCGTCAAAAACAGCTCTCTTAACAACAGCCTCACACAAATATATTTTTTCGTGTTTCCTTATTTGACTTTTTCTGCATTTGGTGAAGATGTTATCCCGGTCGCTGGGAGAGGTTTTAATGGTCTCTCCTAAAGGTTTTATTCAACACAAAGTCTATGGAAAAGAAGTAGTCATAAACAGAGGTGGTCTTTCTTGGAGGTTTCACTGTATTATACAAACTTGTAACAATTTAGGATTAATCTTATTTTCTTTAATAATATGACATTTAAAAGACAAATGTACCTTTAGTATAAATGACAAAATATAATTATTTCTATATCAATTTTCCTTTTATCTTTCTTAATTTTAAATAAATGTTTGATAAATTGATTGTATTCAAATACCATAATTTTCAAATAAAAATAATATATACAGACCTATTTGTCTATTTTAATATATAGAGATAAATTTGCATTTCAGGACACACTTCAAAAATTAAATTTTTCAATTCTCTGCCTTTGGATTTTAAATACAAATTTATAAAAACAAACAAAAAAAGTTATAGATTATATGTATAAAAAATAAGAATATTTCTTTTCTGTAAGCGATCATTTTAGTAAAAAAATACTATTTTTGATCCGAGTAGAATATTAATATCTCCTTTGTTCAAAAAATTTAATAATGGTGCTATAATTGTTCTCTTTTAATTTTCAACCTTTCAAGAAAATAAATATTGTTTATCCTCTTGCAAAACTGAATATATATAAGAAAAAATGAACATAAAAATAGTTTCAAATATGTAATAGTATATTTTGGGTGGAAATATAGCATAAAACTTTCAAAGAAATAGTAAGATTTTTTTTTCTACTTTTAAGACACAAACAAAATAACAAATCTAGAAAATCATTGGCAAAAACTGAACTTAATAATAAAAAACTAGTTCACCAAGTAAAAAGGTGCTTTATTGAAAACTTAACCTTGAACACAGTGGGACAAGAGATGAAACTCCTATGTGACATGTGACGGGCAAAGAAAATCCAAACTTTAGTAAGAGATATGATTACTCCTGACTGTTATGACAAATTTATACTGCTTGCCCATACTGAGTACAAAGTTGAGAAAGCTTGA